TTACTAAAATCTGTTGAAAGTTAGCAGTAACCGGTCCTTCAGTTGTCTGCACAAGTGTAATGCCCAGAGGTCCACAGCGGCACCATTTCAGTGGTTGTCAGAAATTAATTCAGACTGTCTGACTGACCAGGGGTGCCGTACGACATCTCCTGCCTTAAAAATATTCTTAAATTGATAAGTATCTCGATGTTATAGATAAAACTCATTAATAAATTATTGTTTGGAACCATGAAATTGTTGAAACTTTATACATGAAAAAAACGCACTTCAAATAACATCAAGAAGTTGTAAGAAAAGTTCTAGATTTGGAAGTAATAACGACCTCTAGAACTTTTCCTCTCACATTTCCTAAATGAAAAGCCCTACGATCGCTACTGATATACGGCGTGAAACTTCCAATCAGTCATATGTATTTTTATCAAAAGCAATATAATAATAGTAATTTACTAATAAAAGCTTTTTTTGGACTGATTAAGAAGCTTTCAGACAGAAAAAAATTTAAAAAATACAGTAAATGCAACTTTCTTCAAATCCTGCTTTTGAAAAGGTCGAGAAAAGTGGGGAACAAATCACTGACAGAACGAGTAGATCAGAAATTTCTTTTCAAAAAAATCCAAAACTTTTTACAGGCTGTCAAGCAATAATTAAAAGAAAAAATCTATAAAATAAGTGACAAGGCATTTATGAGGATCTACTGCAAATTAAAGTTAGACCTTTTAGAAAAATTCATCACAACGAACGATGTTCCTCTCTAAAAAACGATAAAAGGTTCCAAGAAAGCTAAAGAAGTTTAGAGCGATAGGTGGACAAATTGTGATTTAAAGTTTGTTCCAGAAGCTGTAGTAAACCTTGAAAGTTTTAGATACGAACAAACGGCGAAATTAAAATGTGATCTGGTAGAGGAACGGTAGAAAATTTTATGGTCGAAAAGATGGAGAAAGCCAAAATAAATGAAGAATACTGTTTATAAGGAAATGAAACCTTTAAATTTCTCATTTCTACTCCAAAATCACTGAAAATTAACAGTCTGTACGAAACTTAAAACGCCTTATTAAAGACCTCTCTTCTCCAAAAAAAAAA